CCCTATCAGATAGGCCAAGAAAGAAAGAGGAATGTTAATTTATCTGTCTTCGGCAGAACGTTGATGGAAGGATTTACTTAACTTGTCCCTTTGACGAGGTCGTAGCTTGGTGCAGAGAATGGCAAAACCCATTGAGAATGTCGGCTACGATGCCAGCGAAACGTTTGATTATGTACCAAGTCCACTGTCTGATGCTGAGAATTATGACAATTACTATGACAGACGACTTCGGACTAGGTGCGTTCTGCTAAGTCGCCCAGACAACAAGATCAAGTTGCGACAACGAGGTTAATCCACTTCTATGATTGAAGCGACTCCTCGAAACCTAATTTTCTTCGCATATACCACAGAATCAAGCCAATCGACATTGAAAGAGGTTATACATATCTTACAGTTTAATCAGCAATACCTTGGCAATGGAAGCGATAAGGGACATTTCTTTTTTTTATTAAATGTAGTTTCTAAATATTTAGGTCATTGATGAAATGTAGATTTCGTTGGGCAATAGGATCCCACGATTCGGACGCTACCACATCACTCATCAACCAATCAGAGAAGCTAAACATTCTGACAAACGTTAAATTGTGAGAGATTGTTTGACCTTGTTTTCGCAACTTGGTCATATTGGTAGGAAAACTTAGAGGAATGCACCTAGTCCGAAATCCATTGCATGCATAATACTTTCCAAAGTTGGACCCTGGACGTGATACATTCCCAAATGTTTCGCTGGCATCATCAGTGAGTCTCGCCATTCTTAGTAACATACAACAACTCGTCAAAGAGACAAATAAGCCTATCCTTTGACCAAACGTGTGCTAAACAGTTGTGGTATCTTCACTTTTGCCCTGGGCCATTCACATTTCCTATATCCTAATATCCCACCTTCACTGTCACAATTTTTTACCGTGCCTATTTAGATGAGGTGTGGTGTACTCATTGAGCGGCATTCATGAAAACCTTTCACACTCCACGCTGTCGTAATCACCCCCTTCACCCATGTGCTGGGAATGTTGACCGGAGTCTGACATATTATTACGTAGTCCTTCTTCCCTGGGTCCTATCAGAGTCTCCCTCTTGCCCCGTAGAATCCGTCTGCTATCTCCCTGGTACATGTATTTCATTTGACCCCTGCCCTCCCATCTGTGCCACTCGAGGCCTAATTTGCCCATCCCCTGCACCTGGGTGATTGATTCGAGGCTAAAGCCTCTGAGTAAGTCTCATGGTCACACTTTTGCTACATGGACCATTTCTCTGGTAAAACGGTCAGCCAACTAGCTCTAGTCTCCGCCGTGTCTATCCTGTTTTTATCTCGAATACCAAGTTTATGACTTTCCATGCCGTAGTCTCTTGTGTGCCAACCCACAAATTTTGTGGTACTGCTTGCTTTGATTAGGTTCAAGGTTGAACTTACCCACCTTGTCCATGTACATATTTGCCAAAAGAGGTGAGAGTGGAGCTCTCATGGGTAGTCCAAATATTTGCTCGTAGATACTGCCGTTAAATGTAAAATAGGTAGTCCTTACTGTCAGGTTGATCAATCGTGTTAACGATTCTTTCCGTATCCGTTCTGCCTCCAGGATGTCCTCTTCTCGCTCCAATATCTCCAGCAATGTGCTTACCGCCTTCTCGTCTGAGATGTTTGTGTACATGGATTGAACATCGAAACTCACCGACAGTTCCGACCTCAATAACCCAATGTTCTGGATCCTTTTGAGAAAATTCATATGAATTCTGAACGGTATTCGAGGGTCTATTATTTACTTTCTTGAGCTTCTAGCAAATGAATTTCGCTAGTTTGTGTATGGTTCCATGCTTGCTGTGGACTCTTAATATTAGTGGATTTCCTTCCTTGTGTATCTTTGATAGTCTGTAGGCT